GTGTGGGTTTCTGACCGATGAAATTCACGCAATGTATCGTACGGAACTATCCACGTTGTCCAATGAAATTCGAGAAAAGCGTTGTTGCAGAAAGAGAGACAGGGTTGAAGAGAAGGGGATGGGATGAGGATGGGGAAATGGTGGGTGGATGATAGTGGGAAATAGATAGATAGAGAAGAATGGACGATGGATGGATAGATAGGTTTATGTTGTTATTTAGATACGGATAACATCGTTGTTGTTGTTGTTGGTTGTTGTTAAAAACGATGTTCTGAAACAAACTAACTCTCAAAGATACGAATTATCGAACTCTTCTTGTTACTTCGATAGAAATTGACCGAAATGATTTGACAACATTCGATTGATATTGATAAGAAAATTCTATTATTTGTTGTTGTTGTTTTTCGTAAAGAAAAATTTCTCTGCAAACTTTGGTCGTCCGGAATAAAATTGTTGAAAAAATTCTCATTCAACATTCATATGATTTTAAATTAATTTAAATTATGAATGATAAATTTTCAGTTTTGATATAACTATGGAAAGTAGAGGTAAGGAGAATCATCTCATATGAGAGAAAATTTGAAAAAGTGTCCAGCTGTATGCTATAAATAACAGTTCAAAAACCTTCAAGAATGGCGCTGGTGTAGACAAAGGGTATGGTATGAAGTTTTTCTTTCCTTGTTTATTTCTCAATTCTACTCTAATAATATTTGGCGCTTCCTTTCAAATTTACCCTGATGCTAATGTGGCGTCACCCTAATTTAATGCATTTCAACGGATACTTCTTCATGTACACAGATGATTCTCCTTACGTCTACTCTCCATAGATATAACAAAAAACAAAAAAAGAAATTGTGGTATCCTTTTGTTAACATATAACCTTACTCTAGTTAATTTCCTACATAAACTTGTAAAAGAGAGAGAGAAAAGAAAGAAAGAAAGAAAGAAAGAAAGAAAGAAAGAAAGAAAGAAAGAAAGAAAGAAAGAAAGAAAGAAAGAAAGAGAGAGATTCTCTTAATAACATTTATTCAAACAGTGTAGTCATGGATTTCATTCGTGTAGGAAATTTTCTCTCTAAAAAACCACTGCCTCCTCTCTCTTTTCTACCCTTCCCTATTTCTCTCTTTCTCTTTGTAGCAACATACACACACACACACACGAAATTTCAATGTATATTTCATATTTTAATGTTGAGAAGAGCTTCTTAGACGAATTATAACGAGGGTCGGAGATTTTGTCTCGCAAACTGAGGACGGCAATGCAGTGAAAACAGGGGTTTGAGTTGGGGATTAAGATGAAGAGTTGGCAAGGTGGGGGTGGTTAAGATTTAGAGGTTTGAGAAGAAGGAGGAGGTGGAGGAGGGATGGAAAGTGAATGGTAGCAAGACTTGTTCTCGCTAAACAATTTTGCTACATTCCGAAGTTTCGTACTGTACAGGCAAGTAAGAAAGCAACCAAACCACCACCATCACCACCATCATCATCACCATTACCACTACTGCCATCCCATTTCAACCACCCATCCAATGAACCCTCCTCTTCTTTTCAAAGTTCTATTTATCGTTGAAATATCGTGTTTTAAACGCCATCGTTTTATTTACGATCGATTTAGTTCACACGACGTTTCATTTCTTCTTCTTAGACGTTTTAAACCCCTATGAAAATTCGATTACGGAAACATTTCTTCTTAATCAACATGAATCTAATCATACACAGCCCCTCTTTTGATTTACATGAAATTATTTGTTGTTATATATTGTGTTATATAATTTTAAATAAAATTAATGAACGATATCGTGAGAGAACTGAACATCAAAAGTTAGTCTTGTTTTGTCGCAAGTTTCGCGTTAAAAAATGGGGGGAATAAAGTTTATATAAAAATATTGGGAGAAATGTCTAGGTAATTGTCAGCAATAATAATAAAAATAATAATAATAACAACTGCGATATAACAAGAAACGAAGAAGATCTGTAGAGTAAAATAGAGAAAGAGAAAAAGAAAAAAGAATAAATAAAAACGCGTATCCTTCTCGTTAAGAAGACTTTGTGCATTCAATGGGTAGAAAGATAGATAAACAGAAATGGAAATGGTGAAGAAGAGGTGGAAGGAAGGGAGGAAGAGAGGTAAGAGGTGGAAAGGAAAATAGTCAAAATAGAAAATGTGATGATTTGATTAAATGTGCAAGACGTTTTATTTATTTATTCCACTTGGGCAAATCGAGACCGTGGAAGGTTGTGTTGTCCCTCTTAAAAGCAATTTAGGGTTTATTTCCATCCACCAGAGATACCTGTTGTACCTTAC